AAAAAAAAAAAAAAAAAACCATTCAAGTGGACTCATCCAGTTCAAACTGTGTTGTTCAAGGGTCAAATGTATATGTGTGTGTGTGTATGTATATGAATGTATGTATATATATTCCTCTTTAAGTAAATTCCTAACCAAAAAACAAGCTCATTGCCATCAATTCCAACTCATAGCAACACTATAGGACAGAGTAGAACTGCCTCATAGGGTTTCCAAGGCTATAAATCTTTATAGAAGCAGACTGAACCATCTTTCTCCCACGGAGTGGCTGGTGGGTTCAAACCATCAATCTTTTGGTTAACAGCCAAGTGCTTTAACCATTGTGCCACAAGGGCTTGGTAAATGTCCCAAGGTTTGATTAAGACTTACCTTAGGAGAGGTTCTCAAATTTTTGTGTGCAAAATAATCACTTAGATTCTTTTTAAAATGGAGATGTGTAGGCCTTAACTCCAAGGTTCTTGATTCAGTAAATCTGTGGTAATATCTAAGGAATTGCATTTTTAACTAGTCCTCTACTGCTGTGGGTGGTCCCTCGATGACACATTGAGAATAACCAACCACTTCAGCACTCAAGCAATGGGTACAGATGACAAGGAAAAAAGTTTCATGGATTTATCTCAGATTATAAAAGTAATATATTTCTTTTTAAAAAGTCAAATTTTCCAAGTATCAAAACCTAAAATGTATGCCTTTTCCTCTCCCTTTCACTAAATATAAGTCTGATACCAAGAAGCTACTTTATTTCAAGGTTTTGAGTACTTAATGGATTCAACATTTGTTTGCTTAGAAGCCATGTTTCCAAAGCATCTAGTATTTTTATGCTTTTAAAGAAAAGCATTGCTAAGTGAAATTAAGTGAGAAAACTGGAAAATGTGAATCACTACTCTAAGACCAGACAGATCCAAGTCACATTATTATAGCACATTACTAAATTCCACTTCAGGTAATGGAATTCTCAAAAAACACAGAAATTTCTCTGGAGAAAGAACTGTACGTTTAGTTTCTCCTTATAGTCAAACTCTCATCTTAATGTAAGTGAAACTGGTTATTCTGACGAGAGTTAATACAAATAAAAAATGACTGCATTAAGATGGTGGGATCAATCTATGAACTTAAATCATTGTTTTCTCTTCAAGGTTTTAGAATCAGTTTTCCCAATTTTAATTCATGGTCTAGTTGCTCAAGGTTGGCTCTAATTTTAGTTCATTTTAGTCAAGATCAGATTTCTGTGTAGATTCCTGGAGTATGAAATAAAGATCAGGCTGTGGAGATAGGCAGTGTGTAGGTTAAAGTGATATCATCCTAACAGCCCCTGGTACTGCTTCTTTTAACCAATATCCTGCTGTGGTAGTTATGTTTGTGTGTCAACTTGGCTGGGCCTGGTTGAGTCACTGGGTAGCTGGTGGTAATTATTCCCCATGATGAGACTGGCAATCAACTCCATGGTGGGATCTACCACAAGCAGCTAAGTAGCTACCCTTGGGATGTGGTCTGCTTCCTGTATACAAGGAGAAGCCTTGGAAATAGTCTCTAGCATATGGCACACTTGGACCCTGCATGTAGTCATGTCATTGTTCAGCAGCCTGCCATGTTCTGCTGACCTTGGGACTTACAATGAACTTGAATTAATGGCCTGCCATGTGGTTTGGTAACATCGGGACTGTGCCCATTTACTTGTCATCCTTGGGCTTCTCAGCCTCAGTAGCCAGCAGCTGTCTGAGTGAAGAAATGCTTTGAGCTCCAATGGGCCAGGAGTAGGAGGCAGAGCTGGACCCCAAGGTTGAGGGACTTTCACCCAGCCCCTAGAGCCTGGCACTTTGAACTTGGACTTAAAGCCTCCAAACTGTAAGAGAATAAACTCCTGTTTGTTAAGGCCATCCCATTTGTGGTATATTTCTTGTCAGAGTGGCACTAGGTAACCAGAACACCTGTTAAAACACGAAAGATACAAAAAAAAGATGAAAAGCCATACAATATGAGGAACCAAGACTGGCAAATAATTTATACTGCAGAATCTTGGAGAAATTTCTGTGGACTGTATGGCCAAAGTAGCTAGGCTAATGAAACAAGGGCTGGCCCACCCTGCTTTGCCTTGTGACACAGATCAACCTTGCCTACCTAAAAAGAGGCAGGAAGACAGCCTGGGAGGGGATGGTGCTAATTTTTGAGGTAATTGGAGAACTAGAACCTCCTCAACTCCCATATTCAGATAGAGACCACAACTCTCAAAAAACAATGGCTGGAGAAGAAAAAGTTCTGGCAGGGGGACACACAGAATCCAGGGAAATGTCCCCAAAGGTAAAACCCAGAAGGTCTGGATATAGGAAGAGTGTGATTACTGGGCAGGCTGGGGTTTTTTTAGCCAGTTAAAGAATGAGGTAGCCAAAAGAGAAGAAAATGTTAACCATGCCAACCATGTAGAATGTAGAAGACTTAATGTCTGAATGCCATTGGGAACTGAATGAGTTACATGTGTGCATCAACCTGACTCCAACCTATAGATGTAAGAAGAAATTCAACCAGGAAACAGAGGTCAGAGGCCAAGAGACCACTTTGTCTGTACAGATCACAAGGCCAAGAGGGAAAGTATATAGCTGGTAATGATTTACAATGAAAATGAAGAGTTTAGAAAAGTTCTATTCATATGAATTCAAGAAAAACATGGATTCTGTGAACACAATTAGAGAAACCAAAAGCAGAGATAAAGGACAAGATGATGAGATAAAAATAAAGATGAGATGCAAAAGCACAATTAACTAGTGGTTAACAGGGGGGCATAGTGGCTAAGACACTTGCCTGCTAACCAGATGGCTGGCGGTTCAAACCCACCAGCCACTCCTCGGAAGGAAGGTTGGGCAATCCTACTTCCGTAGTGATACTGCCTCGGAAACCCAAGGAGGGGTCGCTATGAGTCAGGTTTGACTCGACGACACATAACAACAACAACAACTAACAGGTATTGACTTCAAGTATAGATTTGAGTTTGAATTCTAGCTCTTCCATTCATTAGATGCATAGCTTTGGACAAATCACTTAAACTCCTTAAATGTGTTTTTCCATTTGTAAAATGCAGATAAGTACCTACCTCACAAGGCTAAAATGAACAAATGTTTACACCATGACCAAAATGAGAAAGGACAGGAAAACACTAGAACAAGGTCTGGGCATACAGTTTAATAAAAGGTTAAACCATTCCTGTAGTTGATTATGACTTATAGTGACCCCAAGGAACTCTGGTACCATAATGCCTAAGCTATTTGACTGCCAACCAGAAGGCTGGTGTTTCAAACCCACCAGCCACTCCTCAGAAGGAAGGCTGGGCAATCTACTTCTGTAGTGATACTGCTTCGGAAACCCAAGGAGGGGTCCCTATGGGTCGGAGCCAACTCAATGGCAGTGTGTTTGGTTTGGTTTGGTTATAGTGACCCCAAGTGTATCAAAGTAGAACTGTGTTCCATAGGGTTTTCAATGGCTGATTTTTGAGAAGTGGATCATCAGGTTTTTCTTCTGAGGCACCTGGGTGAACTTGAACCTCCAACCTTTCAGTTAGCAGCCCAGTAAGTTTACCTTTGTACCACACAAAGACTCACAGCAACATATCACCACAGTAAGACAAACCAACAGACAAGTTTGTCTCCCTTAGCTGTTCGAAATATCTCCAACCTTCCCTTACCTGGATTCCTACTGCTGCCTCCTTGCTCTGTTCCAGTCCCCCTGGCCTTTCTCTGTCCTTTCCTCCGCTTGCCCACCTTGCTGCTTGTGGGGCATGGTCTGGATTCCCTCCCCTCACCTGGATCCCTGAGGCTGACTCCTCACTCTGTCCTGATCCCCCTGGCCTTTTTCTGCCCTTTCCCCCATTTTCCCACCTTGCCTCTTGTGGGGTATGGCCTAGATTTCCTCCCCTCACCTGGATCCATGTGGCTGATTCCTCATAAAATAAGGATAGAACATTACAAAAATGGAATTACCAGAAAACAAGATAGAGTTCTTGATCATTTTTTAAGAATATAGTTGTTGAAATAAATTCAATAGGACAATTACAAAATTATATCAAAGAAATTTCCCAAACAGAAAAAGAAAAATAAAGAAAAACAGAACACCCCCCCCCCAAAAAAAACCTGAGAAAATTAGAATATCAATCCAACATCCAACCAACAATAGAATTTCTGTAAAGAAATAATAGGAAGAAAGTGAGAGGGTAGGCCAAAGAATTTGAAATAAATAATATAAGATCATTTCTCAGAACAAAAATGACATTTTCAGAAAAAAAAATGATCTGTGGGTATTCAGCAAATGAATAAACAAAAATCTACATCCAAAGCACATCATGGTTAAATTTTACAAAAATGTTTAATAAGAAGAAAAGAAGTCACATATATAAGAGAATAGGAATCAAAATGGCATTGCCATTACGAGAATTCTTTTCAGGAATTATCTCTGAGTATGGGATTATGAAATTTCTTTCCTCTTTATTGTTTTTGTATTTTCTAAAATGAACAAGTATGACTTTCATTGTCAGAAAACAATCTTAACATAAAGCAATCTCTCCTTGGAGACCTTAGCCTAGATTTAAGTGGCCCCATTTCTTATCTGTCTTCATAAGGTCACAATCTGTCTCTGTGCACTGATGCAAAAGCCCTGCTAGTGAGCACAAGTCCTTTTCAAAGAGATTCTTGAATTGAAGAGAAAGCAGAGGACCACACCAGGGATTCACTACCCTGCTGCATTTTTATGTATGACTGATGTCCGCTCATATTTACTCAGCTAGTGAGCTCTTGTTTTCAAGCATGCACCCAGAATATTTTGATATCTGAAGGAACAGGGGAAAAAGCCTACAATTCTTTGCCTAGATACATCTTTCTACCCATTATTATTCTACCATTGCTGTTAACATTTATTTTAATAAGGAACTGCTAAGTGCTCCAATTTGTCTTCATTCTGTTTATCGAACACTATGTCCAAGGCTTTGTGAAGAAATGACTTTCCTCTGACAGACTCACCTGTGGAGAAGATGAACACCGTGTTGTCCCAGAGCCCATGATTTTTTAAGGCTGCTGTGACATTTCCAACTGCTTCATCCATAAGAGATACCATTCCTGCATAGTGACGCCTGTTCTTATCTTGGATAAAGTCGTATGGCTTTAAGTATTCCTCAGGAACCTGAAGGGGCTCATGTACCGACTGGAGAGCAAGGTAGAGAAATAGAGGCTGGAAAGAGAGTTTGTGTAAATCAGTTAAGAAGGCATAAAAGCAATAAACATAGAATAAGACCATCCAGATTTATTTAAACGAAAAAAAAGAAAAGAAAGAAAACATTGACATCAAGTCAATTTCAACTCATCATGACCATACAGGATGAGTAGAACTGCCCCCACAGAGTTTCCAAGGCTGTAAATCTTAACGGAAGTAGATTGCCACATCTTTCTCCCACAGAGAGGCTGATGGGTTCGAACTGTTGACCTTTAGGTTAGCAGTTGGGCATTTCACCACTGTGCCACCAGGGCTCCTACAAGATTTATCAGTTAATAAAAATAATAACACAAACCATAGAATGGGAGAAAGTATTTGTGAATCATATATCTAATAAGGGACTTGTAATGAATACGTAATGGACTTAAAAATACAGAGAACAATTAAAAATATGCAAAGAATTTGACTATTTCTCCAAAGAAAACAAATAAATGGCCAATAAGCACATGAAAAGATACTCAACATCATTAGTCATTAAAGAAATGCAAATCAAAACCAAATGACATACTAATTCACACTGACTAGAATGGCTATAATTTAAAAATGGAAAATAAGTGTTGGTCAGAATGTAGAGAAATCAGAGCCCACATTCATTGCTGATGGAAATGTAAAATGGTATACTAAAAAAACCCAAAAACCAAACCCCACTGCCATCAAGTCAATTCTGACTCATAGTGACCCCCACTGGTTTGCCAAGGTGGTAAATCTTTACAGAAATAGATTGCCCGGTCTCGTTTCCATGGAGTGACTGGTGGGTTTGAACCACCAATCTTCTGGTTAGCCGTCAAAATCCTTAGTCACTGTGCTACCAGAGCTCCAAAATGATATAGAACTTTGGAAAATAGTTTGGTTGTTCCTGAAATTGTTAAGCATAGAATTTCATTCATGTGACCCAGGAATTCTATTCCTACAGAAATGGAAGCATATATCCACGCAAAAACTTGGAATATCAATGTCCACTGCAGTATTATTCATAATAGCCAAAAATAACAACAACCCAAATTTCTATCAAATGATGAATAGATTAATAAAATACGTGGTATATTTTCAGCAATATACAGCAATGAAAGGATTATTATTCAGCAATAAAAGGGGATGAACAGCTGATACATGCTACAATATATATGAACCTTAAAAACATTACGCTAAATAAAAGAAACCAGTACAATAGACCACATATTATGCAATTCCATTTATATGAAATGTTCAGGATAGGCAAATGTATAGTGACAGATAGAATAGTGGTTGCCAAAGGTTATAGGAGGAGCTCTGGTGGTGTAGTGCCTAAGGCATTTGACTGCTAACCAGAAAGCTGGCAGTTCAAATGCACCAGCCACTCCTCAGAAGGAAGGTTGGGCAATCTACTTCCATAGTGATACTGCCTCAGAAACGCAAGAAGCTATCTGGTTGGGCAATTTCCTTCCATAATGATACTGCCTTGGAAAACCAAGGATGGGTCACTATGAGTCAATGCAACATGATGGCAGTGAGTTTCGTTTTTTGTTTTTTTTTTTTTTTTAGTTTAGGGTCTGTACCCAGAGTGGGATTGCTAGAACATGCTGTTGTTATTGTTAGGTGCCATCAAGTCAGCTCCAACTCATAGTGACACTATATACAGCAGAATGAGACACTGCCTGCTCCTGCACCATCCTCACAATCCTTGCTGTACTTGCACCCATGGCCCATCGATGCTAGGTCACTGATCATTGCTAAGTTTTTGAGAAAGCGTCATACCATTTTCCATTGTGGTTGTATCTTTTTACAGTCCCACAAGTGAGGGATAAGGATTCTAATCTCCCCACATCCTTGCCAACATTTGTTGTTATCTGTGTTTCGTTTTTTATCAGTACCATTTTAGCCAGGGTAAGATGGTATCTCATTGTAGTTTTGATATGCATCTCTCTAATGGGAGCTCTGGTGGTGTAGTGCTTAAGGCATTTGACTGCTAACCAGAAAGCTGGTGGTTCAAACCCACCACCACTCCTCAGAAAGAAGGTTGGGTAATCTACTTCTGTAGTGACACCACCTCAGAAACCCAAGGAGGGGTCACTATGAGTCGTATCCAACTCAACAGCAATGAGTTTGGTTTGTGTTTTTTTGGAATGAGTGTGAAGGTCTTTTCATATGTTTTTCAGCTATTTGGATGTCCTCTTTGGTGATAGTTCTGTTCAAGCCCTTTGCCTATTTTGTGATTGTTTGTCTTTTTGTTGTTGAGTTGTTACAGTATCTATAAATCTTAGAGATCAGACACTTATTAGACACATTGTTTCCAAATACTTTTTCCCAGTCTGTAGTTTGTCTATTTACTCTTTTAATAAAGTCTTTTGATGAGCATAAGTTTTTAATTTTTATGAAGTCCCATTTATCTATTTAGTTATTTTCTATTCATGTATTTTTTGTAATGTTTGTTATTTTATTTTTATAAAAGATTAGGTCCATAATTTTTTTCCTACACTGTCTTCCAGGAACTTTATGATTTGGGGTTTCACATGTAGGGCTTTGATCAATTTTGGGTTCATTTTTATGTATGATATGCAGTATGGGTCTTGTTTTATTTTTTCTGCAGGTAGATATCCAGTTTTGCCAGCACTGCTTATTAAACAGACTGTTTCTACCCTACTGAATGGACTTTGGCCACTTGTTGAAATCAATTGTCCACAGAGTGCTCCATTCTATTCCATTGGTCTATGTGTCTATCGTTGAATCAATACCAGGCTGTTTTGATTACAGTGGTTATACAGCATTTTTGATATTGGGGAGTGCAAGGCCTCCTGCTTTGTTCTTTCTATGAGTTGAAATTGACTCAATGGCACCTAAGAACAACAACAACATCATATACTTTAAATGAGTGAATTTTAGGCATGTTAGTTATATCTCAATTAAAGATGTTTTTAAAATAACAAAGGCCCAAGACAAAAATTAAAACATAAAAGTCAGAGTCCTAGAATACCCTAGAAGGCCCTGCATGATCCAACATAATAATAATATTAATAATAATTAACTAAACTAACTCACTGCCATCAAGTCAAACCTGACTCATAGCTACCCTTCCTTGGGTTTCTGAGGCAGTATCACTATGGAAGCAGATAGCCCAACCTTCCTTCCAAGGAGTGGCTGGTGGGTTTGAACCTCCAGGCTTCTGGTTAGCTGTCAAAAGCCTTAGGTACTATGCTACCAGAGCTCCTTAATATTAATAATAGCAGCCATATATTAAATGTTGTATATGTACCAGGTACTGTGATAATTATTTATATATATGATCACAATTGATACTCAAGACCACCCTATTTTTACTGATGAGTTAACTGAAGCTCTTAGAAAGGTTACATGACCTGCTCAAGATCACATTAAGTGCAGAGCAATTTCCTATTGTAAAATCCATCATTACAGTACGGATTAAAAAAACCCATTGCCATTGATTTGATTCCGTTTCATAGAGACCCTATTGGACAGAGCAGAACGGCCCCCATGGGTTTCCAAGGCTGTAAATCTTTACAGAAGCAGATGGCCTCATCTTTCTACCAGAGTGGCTGATGGGTTCAAACTGCCAACCTTTCAGTTAGCAGCCAAATGCTTTAACCACTGTGCCACCAGAGCTTCTTACAGTATGGGTAACCAAAACGAAACCAAACTGACTGCCATCGAGTCAGATCCGACACACAGTGACACCCCTCCTTGGGTTTCTGAGGCAGTATCAAACGAAAGTAGAATGCCCAACCTTCCTTCTGAGGAGTGACCGGTAGGTTTGAACCGCCAGCCTTCTGGTTAGCAGTCAAATGCCTTAGGCACTACACCACCAGAGCTCCCATAGATGAATCTAGGTTACTTTAGCTGAGAAATAAATCCCTATCTCTTTAAAGAAGCTGAGGGTTTTTTTTTTTTATATAATATTTTATGAGAAAACAAGTGGATACCATGTACTAAGTCTTTGGTCTAGGACCAAATGTAATATCGATTTAATTCCTAGAAACTAAGGAGTGAGATACACTGCTTCTACCTTACCTTTCACACCAATTTACAGCATTTAATATTAGTGATATTCCAGGTCAGGCTATCCTTTTTAATCAGCCTTTCCATTGGCAATTCCTATCTGAGCCATCTTCTTCATTGATTTCCTACAGATTGGTTCCAAGTGTGTTGAAAATCTTCAAAGATACAATAATTGGTTCAACCCAAGGATAAACATATAATTTGATAAAGTATATGAGGCACTTAAACCTCACAAATTAATGGAAGAAAGTTAGAAAGCAGACTGTGAGAGGAGGCTCATATTTCTTTTGTCATTGTTCCTCAGTTGTTATAAGTTATATATTACACATTCCTGGGATAGAGTAAGGAGTATACATATGCAAAATACATAAATAAATAAAAATAAAAACCACTGCCATTGTGTCAATTCCGATTCATAGTGACACTATATCACAGAGTAGAACTGCCCTATAGGGTTTCCAAGGCTGTAAATCTTTATGAAAGCTTCATCTTTTTCTCCTGTAGAGAGGCTGGTGGGTTTGAATTAATTGCTGACCTTTCGGTTAGCAGCTGAATGCTCTGACCACTGCGCCACTCAAATAGACATCCAAAAGTGTATTTGGAACTTAGGATCATAGTGTCTCTAAAATCAAGAAGTCAAAATTAGCTGTTAAATATCAACGCTAACCCTTTAAAACATATTTAACTAAAGAGATAAATAGCTGAATAAAAACTTAAATAATGTAGAATCTAAGCTCATTTGTACATTATGTCCACGGAAAAATATTCCAAATTCCAACTCAAAAAGTTGATACTAAAGGTTTTGATGCTACTTTAGCTTAGATTCCACTATCATTCAAGATACACACTTTCTACTTCCACCATAGGAGTCATATTGGAACTTCCATGTCCTCCAGACCATGGTGAAGGGAATCCCAGTAGATGCCCTGCTCAGGTGATGAAGAATCCTAAGCAGAAATGTTGGGAGA